TATTAGTCATCGGGGCGATCCGTGCGTTTTCGAAGATTTTCGCATTTTGAACACGTCACGAGAAAATCGACAATACCTCCTCTAGCACCTCAACGAGAGGGCTGCACACGTTAGAGTTGGCGTAAATCGATTTCTCGCGACGTGTTACCCCTATATCCGATAGAAAATTGACGAGTTTCGATGAAAAATTTCTGCTTAAAAGTTGGTGTGTGTGTACCCGACAGCAAGTTGGCCCCGTCTTCGGAAATTGACATTCACAGCAAGCTTGTGTTACCTCCAATGACGGGTTACCGCCAGCCTCGACGTGGAAGAGCAGAGAAAGCCTATTCTGTTGCAACTCTGCATACAGGTTAACAGACTTCGCTTTACTGAAAAATTGTAGCGTCTTACCCTGTAGAAAACAATAGAATGCATTATCCTCACATAGTGCGGCTGTTTCGTGATTTGCGTTTTGGAGCAGCTCCGTCAACTTCGATTTCGATGACTTTACTACCCGCCGATTGTTCTCCGCATCCCCGCTCACAAAATTAGCGCTGTTGCTATGTGGATCTAACGCCAGACGGCCATCCACGTTACTCATCTTCACTGTTCCTACGTGATTGTGCTAACGTCGGTTGAAAAAAAAAACAAGTGTCTGACAGAGTCTAACTACTTCAATCTATCTGACTAGTACTCTGTGCGTAAACGAAAAAGAAAAAAAGGATAGGAAGAACGTCAGTTACCACTACGGGGTGGCTATCCACCCTATATATCCATTCCATGCCCTGCACAGCCCACTTGTTCATTATAGCCCAATGACCAAAAAGCGAAGAGATCAAGGAGGAAGGTACTAACAAACCCCCTGTGTTACTTGAACACACGTGCATAAACAAAGCATTGCTGCCTGTTCAAGTGCCAATGCATTCTTGACTGCGCCCACGCCCCTTCATCATGGGGGAGGGTGTGCCCAACGTTGCCTAGCATGCAGTAAAAAGCCTGACGTTCTGCCTTACAACCGCTTCATCACTACACACTTCTGGCAACTGCTATTCCAATCTGGATACTTCTATCTGCTTGATTACCGGTCGCCCTTGAACTGTTTAAGCTGGATCGCATACCTGAACCGAATGATTGTTGCATGGTGATTAATTCTTTTCTACTCGCGGCATTAGGTACAGCAATCACGGACATCTAAATGCACAGGCTAGCCACTGAATGCAATGCGTTGTGGCAGTGCAATGTTACCACGAGTAGTATGGAAGGCGCTACACCTTGGGCGGGTCAATCTTGGCCTGGCCAACCTTACGATACTCAGTCACGCCATGCCCACTGCCATGGAGGCCGTTCTGTTGCTCACGCTGGCTGTGAAGGCTCTCGGCACCGCCGCAGCAGTACCATATGCCATAGCAGCAGCAACTAGCTTTATCTCCAACATATCCTCAGCGACAATGTCACCAGTAAGAACCAGATACAGCCCGTCCGTGTCAAAGAAGCCGTCTCAACTTCGCCAGGGGGCAGATCAGGGCGGCATAAGTCACCCCTAGCTAATCTAGCCTTGCAGAGTGCCTTGCCAGGGTGCTAGGATATTTGACGTTTGCAGTGACTTGTTGAGTACTGATTACCCCTGATAGATGACCGTCTCCATAAATGTAGTGCACAGACTCTGTATTGGGAGACTGTGGCACAGTTGAATACTGAATCTGCCTTGCCATATGGCTGCCTATGCTCTATTACAGCATGAAAAGTCATCACACCAGTTGTACACATTTCTGGGTCAATGCGTAAATAAGCAATCATGCACTGCACTCATCTAAAACGAGTGAAAACGCCTTGTTTCATTGGAACGCATGGATAACGTTCTTTGTAGATAAAGGGTCAATGTATCATACGTATTACAATTGAGACATCTCGACTGACATTCACATACTCAGACTCTAACTTTGGCGACAAACCCCATCTTGCACCTTCTTACCTCGAGCAAACACTTCTTCAGCACATCCTCAAGAACTTTGATATAGAAAATTAGTACACCAGTTGAGCCATAACCAAGCTGGCAAGGATCTTCCTCCTACAAGAACTACAACCAGTACTATGGGCTTTGGAAAAGACATCATTTATAAAATGTGCGGCAAAAAGACAGAACCCGAACCCAACGTTCCAGAAGGCGTAGACATTGACCAGGACGTCGAAGACGTCAAAAACCAACTCCCACCTCTGCCCTCACCCCTGCCCACACCGCACAAGGACTTCATACACTGCCTCCCGCCTAATGCGCCTACCTACCGCAAATTCAGCGTCTTCACCGCGGGCAGCATAGAAATGGGTAGCGCCATCCAGTGGCAAAAGCACATGGTCACCAGCCTATCCCACCTCCCCATCACAGTGTGCAACCCGCGGCGCGGCCACTGGAACCCCAACATCACGCCGCAAGCGCGCGACAAGGACTTCAAGGACCAGGTCGAGTGGGAGCTCAGCGCGCTGGAGCAGGTCGATGTGATTTGCTTCTTCTTCGACGTCACGACAAAGAGCCCCGTGTCGCTGCTTGAACTGGGGCTGTGGGCGGGCTCGGGTAAAGTGGTCGTGTGCTGTGGAGAAGGATACTGGAAAGGCGGCAATGTGGAGCTGACATGTGATCGCTACGACATCCCCTTTGTCAAGTCGTTTGCCGAGCTGGTGCCTGCGGTGGAGAAGATGCTGGTGGAGAAAGGAATGATGCTTGATGCCAAGGGCGATTTGGTGGGGGAGAACGTGCACGTTGACAAGGAGAAGCCCAAGAAGAAGGCGCAGCTTGAGGCTGAAAAGGA